TTGGGTTCTTTGTCCATTGGCCATTTGTAAACCATATCCATTTGGTAGCTCACATTGAATCAATTGGGCGCAGACTTTATGGCAAGTTTTTTCGCGCATGAATTTTGTTGACATTCAATTTGCAAGTTGTGTAACCAGGTGTTTGTTAACGAAACAAGCTGCTGATTTTGTAGCGGAATCTTGTTGACCAGCCAATTTGCATATGATTTTGTTATGGTTTTAGATAATATGCAATAAACAAAGTCATACTATTTAATGAAAATGTTTATGTGTCAATGCATCACCAGGTAGCTTTGGACGTGTTTACTTCACACACCACACAACGCAGCTTGGAGAAACAAGATCTTAACATCATGTGGCGCTTGTGGCTCACAGGGCAGTTCCAAACTTGGCTCAGGCGGTACAACATGATAGGTTCACTCTACAACATGATTGTGGCCCAACAATGATTCCAAATACAAATATCTCTACTGAGTCAAAAGGTTTTAAAGTTTATTATATGTTCCAAATCATTGACTGCAGCATGTTTACTTAGCAACTAGCTCCAGGACCTGAGCCAGAAACGCAGCCATGATATCTCCAACGTCCTTGTCTGACACGACTGTGGTCGGAGGCAGTGATGAAGAGCCTACAGTCCTACCAACCATGCCCAACCTGATGGACCAGCCGACCTTCTGTGGTGAAGAACAACCAACCCTCTTCCATGACGAGGCCTCGACTGATGAGGATGATAAAGCTGAGAAACTGTTGGAACAGCAGTTTGCAGAAGTGAGCCAGGAGCAAAAACGCGCCAAGTTTCGAAAACTGTGGCATCAATGTGCTACTAAACCTGATCAAGACTTACACAAACCAAAGGATGATGCACGTGGCCAGTCAGCCCTCCCTCAAGAAAATCGCCAACGACCAGGGTGCCAGGTGAAACAAGTGGATGGCTTGACTGGAGAAGAGCAAGTTTCGCTTCGAGATGGACATGCTGATCAACCAGATGGACAAGAACAGGACGTCCCGGAAGCACTACCTCCTGTTCATCAAGATCTACAAGGACCATTGCGCCAAGGAGGGCAACAACATGACGAGATGCAGATGCCTTTGCCTGTTGATCAATCTGCGCAACAGCCAAACGCCAAAGTGCCAAAAGATGGGCAAGTTTCGTCCAGCAAATCCAGCAGCTCTTCACAGATGCCACAGCCACCGAACCCACAAAACAAGAAGTTTATCCCCACTCCTGGCAATGCTCAAGAAGAACGACTGCGCCTATTGTTGGATAAGAAGAATCAGCGGGAAGTAAAACGAAAGAGAAAGATTGCTGAACAAAGATTGAGAGACAGGGGCTCTGCCAATTAGTTGGTGGCAAGCTGCGACTGAAGGTTTGGGCTTAAAAAAGGGGCGACAAACGACAGAAGAGTGCAAACATGTGCAAACACCTGCAAACGTAACAAAACTGATTTGTAAAATTGCTGGTCCCCATATGTCCCCATTTCCAACTGTATCAGTGCAAGCCGTATGCAAGTGTGCCCCTGATTTTTGCCACCCTGACAGCTCCTGCCTTCGCTTGCATCCATCCAGCCAAGGACATTGGACACTGACCTCAACGTTGTTTGCAAGGCTGCCCAAGCGGAGTGGGACTGGCAGCGAATCCCATTCATCTTGGAGGTGTGTATGTGTGTGTTGCGCAGTCAGACATGTTTGATTATGTTATATTTGATTGCTAGCTAGACGTCTAGAAACTTGGACAGGCATTCATTGACTGAACCAGTTGGAACAATGTTGCAGTCACAACGGGTATGCGCTGACCTTTTCTATTTCAAATTGTTACCTCTTTTGAATGGCTTGCTCGGGTACTGACATCTTGCAAGGCCATGGGTCAGTCGAAGGAGGCCTTCGTTGTGAACGCCCAGGCTAAGAGCAAAAACGCATGGCTTGCATCACAGCAAGCTGCAATGCTGGCCTTCAAGTCGTCTTTGTTGGCTGATCAAGCCTTGTTTGATGCGCAACGGATCAGGACATGCATGCTCACTCATACACAAACCAACAACACTTGTTTCTTTCACTGAGCATCCAGCTTGCTCGAGCTTGCTGAAAGCCAGTCAGTGGCAGCCACTTCACTGAGCATCCAGCTTGCTGGAA